ATATTGGCACTTCTTTGTTAGGTAAAAACGTTCATCCCGTGACCGTGGCTACGTTCGGCGACCAGTTGTGTCACCTCGAGCCCAAGCCCACAGTTACAAATCTCGAGCAAACATAATCGGATTGAATCATAACAATTATTTCTAAGTTTCATCATTTAAGTACAGCTATAATAAATAGCCTAGATCAAAGTATCGGGGATCTTCTCAAAAATTCCAAAAGAAAGACCCCGATGTCCTCTCATATCCGACATATGTATAAGGCTACATGAACCATCTTTCCAAGATTGCTGGTTGAGGTGGAAGAGGTAAAATGTTAATGCTATTGCATAAAGTATTGCTTAACTTACATATATAGGTTATAACGTTTATATGGCCAAATCTGGAGAAGGACGGAGAATGGAATAACAAGGAAGAGCTAGAAAAGTGGGATGGAAGTTGATAATGCTATGGTTAGTCGATAAATCCATTTAAGATTTTGAATAGAAAAATAGTTTCGTCGGCCAATTGTCTGGTACAAAGTGAATAAAATCTATATTTTACCATGGTATGAGTATAGTCGTGATCATGGACACTCAATGCCGTACAGAATTATATAAGAAGATAACCATTGACTCTCCTATATAGGTATCAATTTTCAAATAATATCAATTAGTTATTTTTTAATATTTTTTATGTCATATAACTTTACTGATTTAATCGAGCAAATAATTATTACTTAGAAATTCAAATCAGAAAAGTTGTTCATAATAAAACGAGAACTCGTGCATTAATAATGACGATATATGCTTTTGGGGTGTTTGGGGTATCGCTATGAACCACATGAGATATTTTAAAGTAGTTAAATAAACTAGACTGACGGAAAAAATTTTTGGTAATGACACTGCTATTATAAAATAAATGATATTTGGTTACTTTTAAGCTAGCACATACCTTAATTCTGTAAAGTGAAAGATATCTTTATTTTGATTCAAAGAAAATTCACGGAAACGAATACGAAGGTAAAAAGATGTGGTAACCTAGAAATGAATAAAGTATCGATTGAAACAATCTTGGAAAATGTTTATCTGAAAGTCTTTCGCGAAAATTATTGCATAACATTTAACATCTTCTTTTGATCGCGAATCTCATAGAACTCTCTCATAAATAATGGATCTGGAGCTTCGTTCGGAAATGGAGTAAATAGTTGCAGCGAATATCGCACGAGATTTTCTGTCATCGATTTTATGCTTTCGTCAAGAAAATATACTCCCCGCTGCTTGCGTTTTTCTCGAAAACAGAGTTCCCGGCGTTTCAAAGAAAACGAGTTCTATTTGGTGCACAATAAGTCTGTTATAATTGTCATGTACTTCGTTTCTTGAGATAGTTTACTGTATTACGACAAAGTATTTAAAAATTGCTTAAGGCATCTATGAAAAATTATTGAAATTAATTATATTCCCTTCATAATGTATTATCATAATTTAGATTATTTAAATTATTTACGTTATCATTATTTAGATGATACAAATAAATGTTGATAAATGCAATTTTTATGAAATAAGAGATTTTACTTACTCGTCAAATCTCTGTATGCGATTTATTTTGTACGTTATGCATTTCCTAATAGCACAAGGAAATATTGATAAAACAAATATTAGTTCTAACAATCAAACAATCCCATTTGATTCTCAACCTACCACATATATACTCCGGTACATGTTAATATATACGTGTATTGTGAAATTATTTTTGTAAAGTTAAGCTTAGCTTGATATGAAAATAAGACTTCAGAAAAGTAATAATTTTATCGTTACTTTAAGGTTTGAAGTGGCGATATTGTGTTCTATATTCTACTTAATAGAAAATTTATATGAAACAATTACGTTTATAACAATAATTTGTGTGAACAGGGCTGCGTACGTATTATCTAATTTTATAGTAAATTTTGTTCTAAAAATTTCAATTTTATTTATAAATTTTTAATATCAGACACAAGTTGTATGACCTTCCGCAAAATTTTAACTAAAGATCTCATCAGAGTTAATGGAAAAACTTAATTCAATAATCGCCTTATATTACAATAAATTAACTTAAATAAATTTAATTTAAAATTTAAATAAATTAAATGCTGAAAAGTATAGATTACGATGCAAGAATACATTAAATGAATTGCAACAATAAGCATTTTTTTATACAGGGTGGTTGGTAACTGGCGGGACAAGCGGAAAGGGGGTGATTCTACGCGAAAAAAGAAGTCGAAAACATACAATAAAAATTTTTCGTTCGAGGCTTTGTTTTCGAGAAAATCGACTTTGAATTTTCGCTCGGTACGCGTGCATTTTATCGCGTCTCGTTATAACGGATCTCACTGTAGATCGTTGTCTCGATGGAAAAATGAAAAAAAGAAAGAAATTTTTATTCTATATGTCGGGTTTACATTAGAATTAGGGTTAGGGGCGTGAAACGAATCTTCGTTTGGGTTACACGTTGTCGTTATGCAATAGAGAAGACATTGACTAGTGCAAATACGATTATTATAGAGCCGGACAAGTAACCGTGGTAGTTAGGTACTCGAGAAACTAATGACAATGATCCTAGGTTCAATAACGAATCCGCGGTCGACGGGATGATAGATGAACGTACTCACAAAATCCAAGTCGGATGCGTAATACTCACTGGTCGTAAAGGGTTACTCCTTTCCTCAGTGAGATCGCGAGCGAGAATGCCTTTCCCGTCCCGATGATGCCACAGAGGAAA